GAAGACATACTAACATTCCATTTTGTTCTTATTACTAAGGAAGATTCCCTGGGTGCAGTGAGGTCATCTCCCACAACCCAAAGTGGTAAGAATAAGCCAGGTGAAAGCAGGCCAAGCCTGCAGGTCTGCGGTGGTGACCACATGCAGGGACAGGAAGAAAAGATTGGATGTGGCCATTATTTAAGTCACACGAGGTGCAATGGGGGTAGAATTGACTTGTCCCACAGACCTCAGGCACTGAGGAAGAGAAAGGCTTCCTCATGACAGGGACCATCTGGGCAAGGGATGAGTCAGAAGGATCAAATCTCAGGAAAAGTTGTCGGGGTGCAGACGAGGGAAGGACACTGAGGGCGGAAGTGGGCGTGCAGAGCCGGAGGGAAGGACACTGAGGGCGGAAGTGGGCGTGCAGAGCCGGAGGGAAGGACACTGAGGGCGGAAGTGGGCGTGCAGAGCCGGAGGGAAGGACACTGAGGGCGGAAGTGGGCGTGCAGAGCCGGAGGGAAGGACACTGAGGGCGGAAGTGGGCGTGCAGAGCCGGAGGGAAGGACACTGAGGGCGGAAGTGGGCGTGCAGAGCCGAATGCAAAGCAGTCAGGTGTGCTTTAGTGGGTTCTGAAACAGCATCCAGACAGCTCCTGTCTGAGGACCTCTTCCCACTGTGGTACAGCTGGTGGCCATAAAACCTCATCGGCGCTCAGGGGCCTGTACTAAAGAGCTGCTGTGAGAAGAACAAAGAACGCATTACTAATGTGATTGCTGGTTCAGTACTGACCTTGAGAACCCGTTATACTTATTCAGTTGTCTCAAAATTTCTTCTTAATGTCCATGATTTTTATTTTCATTTTATTTTACTGTAAGTTCTGGGATACATGTGCAGAACGTGCAGGTTTGTTACGTAGGTGTACATGTGCCATGGTGGTTTGCTGCACCCATCACCCCGTCATCTAGGTTTAAAGCCCTGTGTGCCTTAGGTGTCTGTCCTCATGCTCTCCCTCCGCTTGCCTCCCACCGAGCACTGCAAATATTATAATGCCAAAGAATGAGAGGAAAAAAATCAGTTTTTACCTATTCCTTATGAATCCCAGGTAGGCTCCAAAATCTCCCGGGTCACATGCTTTAATGTCATATCATCTTATGATAAAAATTTTTATTTTTTTTTTCATTCACCACTATACAAACAAGGAGTCTTGTCTTAACGGCCAGGAAATGCTTTCTTATGTGAAATCTGTGAGTTTCTGGGTGCAACTTAAGTCTACAACACAATATCTTTGCCTATGACTAAGTGATATCTTTGTGTGTGTGTGTGTATATATGTATATATATATGTGTGTGTGTGTGTATATACATACACATGGCACATTAATTTTCTAGGTTTAAAGCCCTGCGTGTATATGGCACATTAATTTTGCTCTTACAAATGTGCATTTAAAATTTAAGAGTAATGCAATAACTTGATGGTAAAGGTACAAATACCTAAAAATCACCAACAATTTTAACATTAGAAACTTTATTGTTTTTGAACATACTTTTCACAGTTAATTTTATATCAAATATGTGAACATTGGTATCATAATTTTTAAGACAGGTAAGTATTTTGAAAATATGCATTTAAATGGTTTTTCACTGTGTTACATTTATTATACCTAAGGAATTTGTCATATCTCTGACTAGATGTATTACCGTTTGCTAATATAGTGGTCTATTTTGAACATTTTAGATTTTTTTTTAGGTTTCTCAAAATAGTTTTTATTTCCTGGTATAATTTCTGAGCAGAATAACTGAAACAATGAGAACAGGTATTTTATGTCTTACACACGTATTAAGATTGTTTTGCAGAGAGGTTATATAAATTGCCGGTGCTTCTGGTTTTGTATGGAAGTACTAGTTTCATATACCTTCATTGTCCCTGGGCGTCAGCCCCACGTGCGTGCGCCTGCGGGCAAGCTGATGAAGGGACATCTTTGTTGGGAAAAAGAGTCTGGAAAGGCGGTTCTCTGTAAAGGGCCCTGCGTACCTAGTTTTTTTCTTATGCTGGGCCCTGGGATGCTGATTGTTACTCAGACACTTATATTTAAGCTGGTGCCAAAGTAATTGCGGGTTTGACCATTATTTTCAATGGCAAAAACTGCAATTACTTTTGTACCAACCTAATACATAACAATATTTGCAGAAATTTTTGATTTAGAGGAATAAAGAAAGCTGCAAAGAGAATAATGGGCTCAAAGTTTTGTGATGTGCAGTTTATGATTTATTAACTTGATCCTAAAATAATTACCACTTATAAAGATTTCATGGACAGGTGAGGCAAAGATTATTTCTTCACTATTTATTTATTAACACTCTCCATGAAACTTCTTTCAAGTAGAGATACTCTACAGAAAATTATAAGACAAACAGCAGATTCTACCCCCATTCATTCTTTGCCACCTCTCACTCACTCACTTACCCTACCAAAGAAATCCTCCACAGCTGGTCTGCATGAGAAAGTAGATCTTAGTAGTCAGTATAAAACTATTAGAAGAAAAGTCAGCACCTTTAAAAAGTAAAAGTGAGCTTAAATGGACTGGAATACATGCTGTTTCAATGGGAAAATGCATTTTTTTAGGAAAATCAATACGTACTTATTTCTAATGAGATTTGAGAAACTATGGTCAGCAAAATGAGAATTAGGTCCCATGAGAAAGTCACGCTTCAAGAAAGAAAAAGACTATTTGCAAGTGTAAGACTATTTAAAAATAAGAGTCTAATAACTGAACTTGAAAATCCAAATATAGTGAAAAATAGAAGGGCTCTACAGAAAGAGAAACTGATGATATAAAAATAAATATCTGCAAAGTAGAGAGCAAAAGGGAAAAGGAGGAAAATTGTAATTGAAAGATAATGAGAGGCTATTTCAAGGATAACTGGGGTTTAAGCAGGAGGCATTCCAGAGAAAGGGCAGATAATTGATAGAGGAAAGAAAATACAAGGTTAGACAGAAACGGAGCACAGATACATGGACAAGAATAATGTAGTAAGCCGATAAAACGATTACATTTTACAGAAGAGAAAAAAAAGTTCAATAAACAAATGAAAAAATGCTCCACTCCGCAGTAATCGAGGTGTGCCAGATTGACATCTATAAGATGGTGGAGTAAGAGGCTTCAGCCTTTCCTTTCTTCCAGAGATGTACCAAAGAAATATCAACACACAGATTTGTTCTTTCTGAGAGGAAGCCAAAGACTAGTCGAAAGACTACTACACATCAAGCCACTGAGAAAAGATTCACATGATAACGTGGGAAGAGCTGAAACATGCTCCCACCTCAGTCCTTATCCCAGGGGTAGCACCTTATAATTGGTAAGAATTCCCAAGTCCTGGCTTCTCCCTGAGGAGTGAAGGGTTCGGACTACACATAGTACCCTACTCTTTGTGATTCCCACCCAGGGGTTTGTTACCATCTGCAGGTCTCCCTAAACCACAGAGACCAAAGAGATGGTTTGACACAGATTTGCAATCACTTTTGGCAGCTGTCTCCCTGGGCTCAGGTCAGAGCAGGCAGGCAAATGCCGACCTCCTGGTTTCTACCTACAAGGAGTTTTCCCATCTGCTGCCTGAGGCTTGACTTCTGAGTCTGCATCTGGGAGCCAAAAGGGCAGGATGAGCAGGAGCTCACCCTGTGGGAGCCTGAACAGGAGTGTAGGTAGGCGCTGTGCCTGCTCCTCTCAGCTAGCTCCACCAAAATCAAGGTCTCCACCTTCTTCCTAGAAGGAGAATACATCAAGCATACTTTTATATCTGCCACCTGAGGGACTGCCTCCTACACCACTGATCTCTGGAAGTGAATATGAGGCAGGAGAAACGCAGAGGGAGTTGGAAGTTGGATAAAGGGCAGAATGAATAAAAACAGAAACAGAAGCAAGGAGAAGGGGCGGGTGAACAAGAAGCAGGATAAGAGGCAGAAGTTAAGCAGCCAAAACAAAAAGATAAAAGAAGAGAGCAAGGACCCCATGGCCATCAAGATCCAGATCAACCCGGTAAGGGCAGCTCTTCAGGGATAGGCTTGCGCATTAAAGAGAAAAAGTATCCTGAACGTGACCCCGTATGATAATCCGCTCACTAAAGCGCACGCGTATGGACTGCATATCATGCATACACTTAAAATTATGGGCTGGAGGCAACATGTAAGCCCGCAGAGGCTAAAGTAAGCAACGCACCTGTCAATCAAAAGCCAGACACCAGCTAAAGATTAGGCAGCCTTGGGAAGGGAAGAAGGAAAAGAAACAGCAACCTTAAAAGACCGGAAGTACACTGAAGTAATGCAGATCTCATCTCACAGAATCAGCCCACTCTCCCTGCTCCGGGAGTGTGATGCTGTGTGTCACACACTTCTGCTGCTCTCTTTGCTAGTTGAGTGTCACATCAACTAGCAAAGAGAGCAACAGAACTGCGTGATGCCCCTTTTGTTCAGAACACCGAAAGCCTGGAACTGCACAGCACCTTCGGGTCACAGATGGGGCTCTGCATTTTGTGAGTCTTCTAAGGCCACTGAGAACAAATAGGTAGTTTTAAAGGGGCACGAGAGCACTTCCAGTGCGTATTCCTTCAGGTTTAGCCCAGAGAGAAAAGGCAGCAACTCCCAGCTCCCAGTCTCTCCCCAGAAGGCATTTGCCTGCACGCTCTCTCAGCCGGGGCTGGAGAACAGGGCTTTTAACCAACCTTCATGAAGGAGCTGATGGGGCTGGTGGAGAATGGGTTTGACCGCACACCTAACATCCTGACTACATTTCACAGTGCTCAGAATATACCATTTCACAGTACCTAGAAGAGACGTAGGTACTCAAAAAACACTTTTTAAATAAAAGAACGAATTATTTGAATTCCTTCCAATGAAAGTTTATTATATCCACATTTACTAGCACAAATTGTGTGATTTTGAAGATTCTGTTCATCTCCAGCTAAGTCATCTTCTGTAAGATCACGGGTAGCATTTTTGTCATTTATTTTGCCACAATAAAACATTTGAACTGTCTAGCACAAGTGACAATACCTCTGCTCCCTGCTGCTCAGACACCTCTGCAAAAAACCTGCCCCGGACTGGACATCATGGCCCCGAACGGGTAAGTGGCAGAGCTTGGCTTCTATGTCAGCAACATCAGTTCGGATGTAAACAGCAGGCGTCTTTCTTCCTAGAGCAGTAGCCTACCTGTGTCTCCATGTAATTACAGTATTCTTGACAGAAGCCTTCACTTCTCCTGCAGTCAACAACTTTTAAATCTGATGGAGGTTCTACATTAAAAAAAAAATCCAACGTTAGCTTCTTAAGACCATGTGCAGAATCAAACGGTGGTCATTTTAGCTCCGAGAGATGGTGGGGTGGGGTGGGTATGAAACAGCTTTCCGTAGTTAACAGCTTCAGGTTCTAAACTGAAACATCACCTCCAGATCTACAGCTCTGCCCTGCTCAATCTCCTCTAGCGGAAGGAAGTAGTAATCCTTTCACGTGGGAATGCTGTTTTGTTTTGTTTTATCTTTTTCTTTTTTTTGAGATGGAGTTTCACTGTTGTTACCCAGGCTGGAGTGCAATGGTGCGATCTCCGCTCACCGCAACCTCCGCCTCCTGGGTTCAGGCAATTCTCCTGCCTCAGCCTCCCGAGTAGCTGGGATTACAGGCACGCGCCACCATGCCCAGCTAATCCTTTTGTATTTTTAGTAGAGACGGGGTTTCACCATGTTGACCAACATGGTCTCGATCTGTTGACCTCATGATCCACCCGCCTTGGCCTCCCAAAGTGCTGGGATTACAGGCTTGAGCCACCGCGCCCGGCCCAGGAATGCTGTTATCCAACTATGGCACCTGTTTATGTCTGTAGCGCAGTAACTGAGTTTCCTTTTTTCTTTCCTTGGAAGGAGATCCAAATGAATGAGTCCTTTGGAACTGAGGGCCAATTAGAAGGGGCTGGGAGGTTGGCTGGGATGCTGCAGGGGTCAAATTTGGAAGGACATCATTTGCTGGATGTCACAGCAGTTTTCCAACAGCCTCCTGTCTTTCTTGTTCTTGCCCACTGAGCTGCTAGCCTAGTTCTCCCTGTCTTAGGTTCAGCAATGAGCTTGGGATTAAAGAAGCATCTTGGAAAGTGCAGGCTCCCCCAGGCCCTTCTGGATTTGAAGCTGGTCCTGCCCAGGGGTTTGGGGGCTGACCAGAAGGCTAGCCCTTCTAGAAGAGTCCAGAAGAGTGGCTGTGGGCTCAATTGTCCCTTGCCATTCCCTGCTGCCTCCTTGCCTCAGTAGACTGACAGTACAGTCTGTTCTCTGCCCCCAGCCTTGTGAAGCATTTCCCGGACCTCATTTGATGCCTGGCACTTAGCAGGTAAATTCCTGTTGGGGGAATGACCTCCAAAGCTAAGGGCATGGGGCTGCGACCTGGCGGGAGGGGACGTTTCCACCAGTGTTTCCTCTGGCTCCTGTGCTTGGAGGAAGTCAGCAATTACAGACGTGGCCTCAGATAATTAGTCTTTTGGCTCCTCAATACTCACACGTTCCACTAGGCCCTCAGTGATCCAGCCCCAGGGGAAACTGTGAGACCTCGTGGCCTCCCTGCCAGGCAGGGCAGCCCAGTGCACCCACACCATGTCTTCCCCAAACCATGACTGTTCACCCACTCAGACCAGCACAGACACCCTCCCATCTGTTCATTCCCTCTCCATCTCCCAGTGGATGTACTTGTTACACGTGTTGAACCCTGACTCACCTTGGTAAGGTGGGGTGCGCGGTGGTAAGAGGTCGCGTTTCACTGGGTGGTGTGACAGCTGAGACCCGTTTGTGCCTTGCCCAGGGGCTCCCTCCCCGAGTTCTCTGGGAGCCGCCATGGCTGAGCGGTTAACATATCTGGCTTGGGACGATCCTGTGGCAGTAGAAACACACAGCAGAGGATGCGCCAAGGCCTCCGCCCAGCAGACCCGTCGGCATGAGGTGCCCACACTCCACCAGGTGAGTGAGTGTGGGTTATTGGGTGGGGAGTTGGGAGGGGTTCTGGTGTCCTGTGTGTGTGCGCACATTTGTGCACAAGTGTATGCACCTGTGTGTAGAGAGAGAGAGAAGGGTGAATGATGTGTAAGAAACGTGTGCCATAAACAGTGAGACCGAGCACCTCCTTGAAGCCAACACAGCCAGAGAATTTCTTTCAGGTGTCACTAATGCAGTGTTGAGATTCCCTAAAACGTAATGTCCTTCTCTGTAAGGGTGAGGGGAGTGTCAAAAGAATAAGAAAATGGAGTGGGGCAGGACCCTCTCCCCTGGGAAGCAAGTGTCATCACTCAATTCAGAATGCCATTCACGAACCCAGCTTAGAGACTCATACCCAAAGCTCCACCAGGAATACCTGCTCCCAGAACCTTGTGTCTCCCGCCCAGCCTGGACTCCCATACCCCAGATGACTATTGCATTGAGATTCTGTCACCCAGGTCGGGTCACCTTTCCATTTTACCTGGAAACAGTAGGGCCACAAGGAGAAGGCTGGCAAAGGACAGGAGCAATCGTTGCCTCATGTCTGCCAAGGGGACAGAAAGCACCCAGGGTGGGTGGGCAGGCAGCAGGGCTCCTTTTACGGAGTGGAGCTGGGTGTGTGGGCCCGGAGCGTGGGAAGAGCTGTGTTCCAGAATGACTTCCCATTCTCAGAGGACACATGTGGATGTGCTCCTATCCTGCTGCTGGTGGAACAAACACTTGAGCCACGTATTTCAGGAAGCAGACAATATGCCTGAATGCCTTGGTTGGGTTTGGTGAATAAGGAAGATCAGAGAGTAGCAGACAGATGAAAGGGAGGGGCAGAACAAACATGAATTATCATCAAGTTGCCAATGTCTTTAAATGCTTCTCAAAAGTCCCCTGATGTTCATGAGAACAGTGACATAAATAAACTGCCATGTTGATTCTATCCTGCCTGCTGAATGTGTTTATTGTTTATTTTAGTGTTAAAAAATTATGCATAAGACACAACATAACAGGTGGGACGTGGTCGTGCAAACTGTCACTTCCTAAAGTTATACGCAGAGTTCTAAGGCTGCTCAAAACCTTATTTACTTTTTCTTCTCCCTGAGCCTCTCTCCCTGTTTCCTGGTCCCCTCCACTTCTCCTCCACCTCTTTGGACTCCCTGGCTTTCTATTTTAATTTGTGTGCCTTGTCTTTCTTTTTCTCTCTCCATTTTATTTTCTTTTCCCCAAGACACCTCCTGTTGATGTCACTGAGTCCAATTGAGTTCTTTCAGAAAAGAAAGAATAATGTGTGATTGAGTCTGGGTTTTCTCCTGTACTGATATCCAAGCAGAAGGCTTGTCTTCCCTTTTCCTTCCTCTTTTTAAAAATGTGAACCAAGTGTGTGTTTCTTGTTTGGCTGCCTTAGCTCGGGCATGCATGTAACCCAGGCAGGCTGCTCTAGACTTAAGTGATGACGGCTTCGGTTGAAGAGTTTTGTAATCACATAACATCCAATGTAACATCAGCGACTTCTGGAAAAGATAGTGCTTATCTCATATGTTTCATTTGCATGTACATTTGGAATCAGACAGAGAAAACATCTTGGATCATTTGTGTAAATGAAAACACTTATACTCAGTCGGGTGCAGTGGCTCATGCCTATAATCTCAGCACTTTGGGAGATTACCTGAGGTCAGGAGTTCTAGACCAGCCTGACCAATGAAACCCCGTCCCTACTAAAAACACAAATTTAGCCGAGTGTGGTGGCACGTGCCTGTAATCCCAGCTACTCAGGAGGTTGAGGCAGGAGAATTGCTTGAACCTGTGAGGTGGAGGTGGAGGTAAGCCAAGATCGTGCCACTGCACTTCAGCCTGGGCAAAAAGAGTAAAACTCCATCTCAAAAAAAAGAGGCTGGGCGCGGTGGCTCACGCCTGTAATCCCAGCACTTTGGGAGGCTGAGGCGGGTGGATCACGAGGTCAAGAGATTGAGACCATCCTGGTCAACATGGTGAAACCCCGTCTCTACTAAAAATACAAAAAATTAGCTGAGCACGGTGGCACGTGCCTGTAATCCCAGCTACTCAGGAGGTTGAGGCAGGAGAATTGCCTGAACCCAGGAGGCAGAGATTGCGGTGAGCCAAGATGGCACCATTGCACTCCAGCCTGGGTAACAAGAGCGAAACTTCGTCTCAAAAAAAAAGAGAGCAAGAGAGAAAGAAAATCCTTATTCTCTACCTGGAGAAAGCTGGGAGCAGATAAAGAGGCAGCAGTGACGCTAGAGACCTGGGCATCTGGGGAAGCAACAAGGAAGGACAGAAGGTTTGCAGCTGTGGACAAGCAAGCACAGCAGCGGTCCCAGCAGCACAGTGCAGAGGCCACTATCTTATAGATCTCAGAGCACTAGGTGCTGGTCAGGGAGAGCAGGAGCATCATTCTCATCCTTTCACTTTCAGGAATTAGGAAATCTTCCAACTCCGGGAGCACGGGGGACGCCGTGGAGGTAAGTGGCAACTGGCCCGTGATAAGTTTCTTTAATCATTTATTGCACCAAAGTTTGGCAACTGGATGTTGGAGGAACATAGATTGTCAAGAAAGGAGGTAGACAGCGGCTGCTACCTCAGCCTGCGTGAAAATGTATTCGCTTGCCTACATACTCTACATAATTTTTGCATTTTAGTTCAATAGTGATTTCTTACAGTTGTATTTGTAATTATTTAAACTCGGAATGGGGGTCTTTTATAAAAGTGACAGAAATTTGGGAGTATATTGGTAACTTGTTTCTATATATTTTTATCTTCTCTATAAAAGGAAAGAAAAAACATGTATTCCACTAGTCACATATTAATAGTAATGAATCATTAATCAGAATCATGACTGATAATATAACAGCATTTGAGCAATTTCTACCCAGGTAAAGGAATTTTTCTCTAAGTCATTAAAATTATTTGATCTGATTTAAATGAAGAAACCGAGCCAAAAATAGTTAGAGCTCACTTCCTTTGTCTAGATCTTAAGATTAAAATAAGCCCACTCTCCCACACTTCTGAAAAGAACAACCTCAGAGCACTAGGTGCTGGTCAGGGAGAGCAGCCAAAAATAGTTAGATCATCCGGAGAAAACATAGTTCTGCCATTTGAGAGACAAAAGCTGGTGGCGTCATAATAAAAGTAACTCATGTTACATCTGTCCTAACTCAACCGTGTTCTCAGCTCCTGTCCTCTTCTCCCAGCTTTCTGTGTCCTAAAAAAATATGTGAACAATTCTCTTGCTAAAAACCACATCCATCCTGAAGAGGGGAGGATGGCAGAACCCATTATAGAATATTCTGATGGCCGGGCGCAGTGGCTCAAGCCTGTAATCCCAGCACTTTGGGAGGCCGAGGTGGGTGGATCACGAGGTCAACAGATCGAGACCATCCTGGTCAACATGGTGAAACCCCGTCTCTACTAAAAATACAAAAATTAGCTGGGCATGGTGGTGCGCCCCTGTAGTCCCAGCTACTCGGGAGGCTGAGAGAGGAGAATTGCCTGAACCCAGGAGGCGAAGGTTGTGGTGAGCCGAGATCGCGCCATTGCACTCCAGCCTGGGTAACAAGAGCAAAACTCCGTCTCAAAAAAAAAAAATTCTGATAATTGTTTCAAGACTTTTTTTTTTTTTTGGTACCAGCAACTAATAAATAGTATTCTTTGTTTGTTTGTTTTTAAGCTGCTTGGTATGTGGTATCTTGACTCATTTGTACTGAGTAGGTGGGCTAAAGTAAAATGATCAAGATTTCGTTGTCGAAGAAGGTGTTCTACAAATCCATATTCCTGAAGGATCTTACTGGAAAATGCGCACATTCCACACTGGCACATCTTCCTTCTTGCCTCCCAAGTAGCATTCTGTTAAATCCTGGAAAATATGAATGCAAGAAGGAAAACATATCGTAGCCCAGTTTGGAATCAGAAGTTTTCTGCAGAATCAAATTTAGACTCTTCTTTTGCATTATTAAATGACCCAGTGAAACTTTCCCTGGAGGGGACTCACAGACGAGTGAAGCTAAGATTTTTTTTTTGAGACAGAGTCTCACTCTGTCACCCAGGCTGGAGTGCAGTGGTTTCGTCTTGGCTCACTGCAACCTCTGCCTCCCGGGTTCAAGTGACTCTCCTGTCTCAGCCTCCCAAGTAGGTGCGATTACAGGCACCTACCACCACGCCCAGCTAATTTTTGTATTTTTAGTAGAGATCAGGGTTTCACCAAGTTGGCCAGGCTGCTCTTGAACTCCTAACCTCAAGTCATCTGCCTGCCTCAGCCTCCCAAAGCGCTGGGATTACGGGCATGAGCCACTGCACCCAGCTGAGGTTGCCAATTCTGATGAAACTATCACAACATTTAGAACTGAAAACTGTATTAGAGATCTAACCAATATTTTAAGAAGAGGAAATGGAAAATGAATGAAAAAGCGATGTATCTGTATGTGTGAATTAAAGACTAAAGATCTGGACCGGGCTGTGCTCTGCAGACACTAAGATAATTAGCTGAATGGGGTCCACGTAAATAAATAAAGGGGTGCTCAGTGTTAAAGGGAAAGGCAGCAAATTCGTTTGGGAAAGGGCAGGAATTCATGGTGGTCATAGACATAAGAAGAAATACAGTGTTTCACAGGAATGGTGATGCTTTTGTTGTTTTCTCCCTGATGCTTTTATTTTTGTATGTGTGTAGTTTCTCATAACCGGAAAGTTTCAGCCCCTTCCTAGTCCTCAGAGGAGGACCATTTTTTTCTCTCGGATTCAGCCGCAAAGGCAGCTCTACCACTCACCACGTGTCTGCTTCTGACTTTGTCATGTTGGGAAACCTCGGGACCCCACCTCCTTTTACCCACAGGGCCCTCTGTGCCTATGAAAATGAGGTCCCTGAAGTTATTGTGGATGAGTCAACATATCACAACCTAAAATTCAGGAATAAGAAAATCTACGTAGGAATCTCTACTTCAATCATCTGTGAGACTCCCCAAGGCTAATTATCTTTGGGTCATGTGGTAATGTAAGAGAAGAGTTCAAGGTTGATTATACAGCAACTTCTGAGCACAGACCTGGCTACAATAGGTTTCCTCTTTTCACAGACATATTTTCCAGGCTTTGATGGGATGTCTCTTGAGAGACAAGAAATAGAATGTGCCAGTGTTGAAAATCTTAACTCCCTTGAAAATGTCAAGTTCTGCACTTTTGGATATTTCAGTAAGGACCTGCGTGGTGGATCTGCTCACCCAGAGATTTCTCTGTCAATCTCTCTCTCTCAACTTCAAATAATAAAAAATGCATACATCATAAAGTGAAAAGTGTTCAAACAATCCTTCTTTCTGTTGATTTTCATTAGGCACATTTCAAAGAGTTACTGATGGTTCATTGTGAACAGCAGACTTCAGATCATCCTTTGGAGATAGAAGATGAGCAGGAGTGTTATTCTGGTTGTGTTTGTGGTGCATCAAGTGCAAATTATTAAATATTGCCTGCCAGTTCTGGAAGCAATAAAATAGAAAAATATATCTTTGTTCCTTTACCATTAAGACCTGAAATTAGAGAAGGGTGACTTTGTGATTTCTTTAAGTGCTGAGAATAGCAGTTCATTAATAGGACTATGTGAATTACACCTGGGGGTGGGGGATGCTATTTCAGAATCCAGCCTCTTTAGAAAGCAGAAGAATAGAACAGCAGGACAGCAAGCCAAACGCAGGGCTCTTCAGAGAAGACCACGATACAAGGCCATTCAATGTTATCTGACGATGAGGTAGCTTTGCTTTCTGCTTATTATGGTCTCTCTGGCCATGACTGCTGTGGAGCTGATTAAAGTCTGTAGAAGTCCCTTGCTTTGCCCTATATTTATATGGGCAAGTACAAGATGGCCTTTCTTGGCAAGGCATCACATTTTAAAAGGAGACAAAAATAATTTTAGCACAGGGTCAACAGTTGAGTCTGTGTTTAGTGTTGTTTATCAGAATGCCCATACGGCAGGAGGGGAAATCAAGGCACACGTCAGATCAGTCACCTTCCCAAGGTCACCCACTGGGCAGGAGGGCTGGGATTCAGGGCTTTGTATGTTTGTATAGCATGCTCAGCTGCCTCTGAATTGCACTTGAGATGTGGAGTCTAGGCCTGGTCTTGCCTAATATCCTGACTGATATTAGAAAAACCACTAGTCCCTCTGAACCTCAGTAACAATGCCTAAAAGGTGAGGCTAATGAGACTTACAATGCTTAATTCAGGAGTTTATGGTGAGGATCACAGGACATTATGTATTAAAAGTAGGTTATAAAATAGAAAATTGGAGAATAACAAAAAGGGTCTGAATAATGAAATATGAGAATACAAGAATGAAAAGGGTCTAAAACAATGTAAGAATAAATGTCACATTGTCCTATAGCGTGTTCTGTGTCTTGCATTTGGAGACTGCAAATGCATGTAGCATCCTTGCGGGGGGGTTGACAGTTTCCTCTTTTCCTGTAATTGCAGTGATGAGACCTAAGGGCTTGCCCAGATATGCACTCAACTGTCACTACAATATGTTATAGGTGGAATAGCAAATGCACATCACCAGCTACGCAAGAGGCCTTGGAGGCAAACAGCCTAAGGCAGTGTGTGGACCTTCCAGGATCCAGATTCTAATAAAGCAACTCTTAAAAAGGCACTTGTAAAATGCTCAGGGTCCCTATAATCCCAGCACTTTGGGAGGCCGAGGCAGGGCAAGAGATCGAGACCATCCTGGTCAACAAGGTGAAACCCCGTCTCTACTAAAAATACAAAAATTAGCTGGGCATGATGGTGCGTGCCTGTAGTCCCAGCTACTTGGGAGGCTGAGGCAGGAGAATTGCCTGAACCCAGAAGGCAGAGGTTGTGGTGAGCCGAGATCGTGCCATTGCACTCCAGTCTGGGTAACAACAGCAAAACTCTGTCTCAAAAAAAAAAAAAAAAATACTCAGGGTCATTTGAATACAGATTGGCTGTTAAACTGTATTAAGGAACGAGGGCTGATTTTTTTCCAGGGGTGATAAAATAGTATTGTGGTTCTGTTTTACAAAATGAGTTGTTTTCCTCCTGATTGAAGTCTTTTCAAATGGGCATCTTTGAAATAATTTATTTTTTATTTGAGATAATCTGGGAGAGTTTCTCACCAAGGGATGAAACAAGACTAACCCCATGTCAGGGCCGGGTGATGGCTACGCGAAGGGCCATTACTTTGTTTTGGCAGAAAGGGCACAATGCAGTCTCCGTTTTACCCTGAAAAGGTGAGGATGATGCCGCTCACCAGGACTAGAAGCTCATGTGTGGCGTTATGTGCTTCTATAGCAGGTTTCAGGCTTATTTTAATCACTGTTGACATTCCTTGGCTAGATCCCTGTTTCCCTACCTGTTTGCAAAATGGCGACACTCCTCATTTATTAGCCGCGCTGCTTTTGAGGAGAGAAGCCTTTGACTACCTTAAAGACCTGGCACCATAAAAACCCTAGAAGGAAATCTAGGCAAAACCATCCAGGACATAGGAGTAGGCAAGGACTTCATGAACAAAACACCAAAAGCATTGGCAACAAAAGCCAAAATAGACAAATGGGACCTAATGAAACTCCACAGCTTCTGCACGGCAAAAGAAACAGTCACTAGAGTGGATCGGCAACCAACAGAATGGGAAAAAATTTTCGCCGTCTACCCATCTGACAAAGGGCTGATATCCAGAATTTACAAAGAACTCCAACAGATTTATAGGAAAAAAACAAACAAGCCCATTCAAAAGTGGGCAAAGGATATGAACAGATACTTTATGAAAGAAGACATATATGAGGCCAACAATCATATGAAAAAATGCTCATCGTCACGGGTCATCAGAGAGATGCAAATCAAAACCACATTGAGTTACCATATCACGCCAGTTAGAATGGCGATCATTTAAAAATCTGGAGACAACAGATGCTGGAGAGGATGTGGAGAAAAAGGAACACTTTTACACTGTTGGTGGGAGTGTAAATTAGTTCAACCATTGTGGAAGACAGTGTGGCGATTCCTCAAGGCCTTAGAAATAGAAATTCCATTTGACCCAGCAATCCCATTACTGAGTATATATCCAAAGGACTAAAAATTGTTCTACTATAAGGACACATGTACACGAATGTTCATTGCAGCACTGTTTACAATAGCAAAGACCTGGAATCAACCCAAATGCCCATTGATAATAGACTGGATTGGAAAAATGTGGCACATATACACCATGGAATATTATGCAGCAATCAGAAATGATGAGTTTGTGTTGTTTGTAGGGACATGGATGAATCTGGAGAACATCATCCTCAGCAAACTGACACAAGAACAGAAAACGAAACACCGCATATTCTCACTCATAGGTGGGTGATGAAAAATGAGAGCACATGGACACAGAAAGGGGAGTACTAAACACTGGGGTGTATTGGGGGGAAAAGGGGAGGACCAGTGGGAGGGGGAGGTGGGGAGGGATAGCCTGGGGAGAAATGCCAAATGTGGGTGAAGGGGAGAAGAAAAGCAAAGCACACTGCCATGTGTGTACCTACGCAACTGTCTTGCATGCTCTGCTCATGTACCCCAAAACCTAAAATCCAATAAAAAAATAAAAAAAAAAAAAAGTCTGGTTTGGACAAGAAAGGCGGGCAGGTCAAATGTTTCTGTCACTCCCATGCCCCAGTTTTCAGGATGAAGAAGCCACAGCTCAGCGCCGGGCTGCTCTCTGCTGCCCTCTGCTGGATGGGAGTCTCCACAGACACCCACTTGATCAACCCCTCAAGTTCCAATGGGTTCCCAAGCTTGTCATCACACATCACCTCTTGTTTTTCTCCACAGAGGTCGATGTTTGTAAATACAGTGTATTCCAAACACGACACACTAAACATTGATTTAATTTCCATTTTAATTAAAAAAAGACATACGTAACTGTTGAGTAAAACTTTTGATCAGAAAAGAAAGCCAGTATTAGGATAAAAATGATGTTTTTCTTAGGTTTACAGCTGATTAGGTAGACGTATTTTTTTGTTCAACTGGTAAAGCACTGCAACTCATGCTTAATCTGCATTGCTGTCCTCCATTATCACAACCAGAGGTGGCTTTCCAGCCTGTATTCTTCGATACAGGCTTGGCTTCGCATTGAGGGGAAGCTCAGCAAACCTCGTTTCATAAGGATCCGTGGTTGCACTGGGTGCCGCGAAGCCTCGGGAAGAAAAGTCACCGAGGTCCTGCTTCCAGTGACTCTAGGGACCAGCACTACTGCGCTTCAGTGTTTGGTAAAATTCAGTAAGCTCTCGTCCCATTTCTTCAAACAGCATGCATAGGTGTTGAGGCATCTTCCAATTTTGTATTCTTGGTTTTGACATTTCTTCCGGCAGCGGGCAGTCCCATAACCACATACTCTGTCCAGTTCAAACTCACTTCTCACTAGATAACAGGATACAGCACTGTGATTAATTGTGTACTGGCACCAAGAGGCAAGGCTTTGGCAGAAGGTGTTTTCAGAGGGAGACAGAGAATGCTAGTGCATGGTGGTGGTGCTTTTCCTGCACCCCCGTCCTCCACTTTCCTAGACGATTGACTTGACCCTTGGTTCCCAACCAGCATGGATTTTATTTGAAAATATACATCAGTCCATGTCACACCTGTTTTCAAAATCCCCGCAATAGTTTACTATCGCTTTTTTATGAAATCTAACCAAGCCCCTTACTGGGTCTCCAAAGCAATCTTGATCTGATCTTGTGCCACTTTTTTCAAACTCATGCTGTTCCACTGTGGCTCTCACTCTGTACCTTGCCGGCCTCCCTTCTGTTCCCTGTGAGCTTACTCTTTGCTATCCTGGTACCTTCACGTGCACTGTCCCTCTGCCCGGAAGGTTTTTCTTCCCTCCCGTGAGTGGATTCTTTGAACTTTTACATCTCAACCTTAAGGTCAAACCTTTCTCTGTCCTCTTCATGTATTTAAATGCCCCAAAACTATTTTTTTCTCCCTATGCATTTGTTACTCTTTTATACCACCTATCCCAAGTTGTAGTTTTATTTATATACATATATATAACTACATAGAGAGAGATACTCTGAATGTACTCTCTCTCTCTCTCTCTCTCTCTATATATATATATATATATACATTCTGTCCGGTTCACTTCTCACTAGATAGCAGGATATGACACTGTGTAATATATATTACTATATAGAGTATATATACTGAGAGAGATAGAGAGATACTAGTATTTGTGTGTATATATATATACACACTCTACTATATATAATAGAGAGAGATATGTAGATATTGATATGTATGTGTGTGTGTGGGGGTGTGTGTGTGTGTGTGTGTGTGTGTATATATATATATATATAGAGAGAGAGAGAGAGAAATTTGCTATTGACCCTCAGGCCGACGTCATGTTGCTCACCATTGTGTAACTTGTACCTGGAACATAGCCTGTGCCCAGTAAGGACCTGGTGAGTAAATGATTGGATAGACTAGACCAGAATAAACTAGAGTGGTTGCAAGTAGAGTGGAGGAAACAAGAAAGAAGCAGAATCCTGGTTGTTTGGCCCTTGGCCCAGAGCAGTTTTCAGGAGACATTGATTTGTTTTCTCAGTCTCAGAGTGTGCTCTCTGAGGCTGAAAGCAGCTTTGTAAAGCTCAGTATCTCACATGTCATGCTGGTAGCCTCTGACAGAGATACCAGGAAGGCCCAGAAGCAAGGCCCTATATATTAGGGAGGAGAGTATTAGGTGGACTGAGAGAGCCCCGCTGGAGAGAGCTTTGTGTGAGGTTCTCTAGCAAACTCAGCAGGAGCCAGGCTTGGGGGACTGTATCCGGGGAATAGTGGGAAGAGGAGAGTCAGGACTGCAAGTGGTCCTCTTTGCGGAGGTCGGGGCCCAAGGTCCTAATTTCACCTCAGCCCTGAGTCCTTCTCCCCTGTCGCATTTGTTCATTTTCCACAAAGCAGAAGGGCAGGGGAACGGAAACAGGCTGCTAATTCTTGCACCAGGGTTTTACGTCTTTCCTTCGTTCTGGTAAAGAGAAGCCTCCTATTTCGGATGCTTAGGTGTCAGGGTTCTTTGTCCTGGAGGCAGGTGAGGACTAAAAGGCAGTTTGACCAATTCATGGGCTTGATAGGATATTGAAGAGGTTTGTGTTTGGAATGGCCCCACAGTGGGTGATGAGGAAAGCCTGTTTTGCTGTAACCTTCATTCAAAAGCAAGCCCTTGTGGTCACAGTACAAGGCAATGAGGAAAGGAGTGAGGCGAGCTGCAATGTCGGTCACACTAAGCGAGTATGTGGAGGTCAGGTAGCGGACACGTGGCTTCTGACATGTCTGTGGCAGGCCACTTTACAACCTGGAGTCAGAGGAGGAAAAGGAGGGTGCCGTGCTAGCTCAGGGAAAATGAAGCTTAGCTTAGGGAAGAAGTAGAATAGTCCAGGAAGAGAATACAAACTTTAAAATGTTAGACTGTCAGTTTCAAGCAAGCCCTGACAGGCCATCTCTTCAGAGATGATTGTTAAGGCTCAGAGAAGGAAAGTGATTAACCTGAGGTCACACAGCAACTTAACTGTCAAAGCTGAAATAAACACCTAGTTGGTATGCCTTATAGTCTGAGTAAGCAGAATGCAAAAGGGAGAATACAATCTATACACGGAGGCTGAATAATAAATACATCCTGAGCAATAAATACCTTCCAGGGTAGACTAAATTACACTAGTTTCTTTCTTTCATAAGCAATTCTCCTCCTCTGATCTGTAGACCCAGGTCTCAGGTATTAGTTAATTTAGAAAGTTTATTTTGCCAAAGTTGAGGATGTGCCTGAGACACAACCTCAGGAGGTCCTGAGTTCATGCGCCCAAGATGGTTGGGGTACAGCTTGCTTGCTTTTATACATTTTAGGGAGACGTAAACATCAATCAATACATGTAAGGTTTACTTTTTTTTTTTTGAGACAGAATCTCCCTTTTTTGCTCAGGCTGCAGGGCAGTGGTGTGATCTAGGTTCACTGCAACCTCTACCTCAGGTTTAAGCAATTCTCCTGCCTCAGCCTCCCAAGTAGCTGGAATTACAGATGCCTGCCAACACACCCAGCTAATTTTTGTATTTTTCGTTGGCTTAGAGATTGTTGGCCAGCCAGTTTCAAACTCCTGACCTCAAGTGATCCACTAGCCTCAGCCTCCCAAAATGCTGAGATTACAGGTGGGACCCACCGCACCTGGACAGTTTACAGTGGTTTGGTCCAGAAAGGTGGGACAACTCTAACTTGAGTTTATCTTAGGACCTAGGATCAATAGAAAGGAATGTTTGGGTTGTAATAACAGGTTGTGCTATGGAGACCAAAGTTGTGTCATGCAGTTGAAGCTTTAGGCTGGCAGGTTTCAGAGAGAACAGGCTGTAAAATATTTCTTATCAGACTTTGTGTTGATGTTATGCTGGAGAGGGTACCGAGGCATGTCCGTCCCCCTTCCTTTCATGGCCTGAACCAGTCTTTCCGATTATATTTTAAGAGCCCTGGTTAAGGCTGGGAGCGGTGGCTCACGCCTGTAATCCCAGCACTTTGGGAGGCCCAGGCGGGTGGATCACAAGGTCAAGAGATCAAGACCATCCTGGTCAACATGGTGAAACCCCGTCTCTACTAAAAATACAAAAAATTAGCTGGGCATGGTGGTGCGTGCCTGTAATCCCGGCTACTCAGGAGGCTGAGGCAGGAGAATTGCCTGAACCCAGGAGGCGGAGGTTGCGGTGAGCCGAGATCGCGCCATTGCACTCCAGCCTGGGTAACAAGAGTGAAACTTCGTCTCAAAAAAAAGAGCCCTGGTTGAGGAAGGAGTCTATGTAGATGGTTGGGGAGGGGCTTAGAGTTTTATTTTTGTTTTACAGCACGCATCCCCAGCCCCGTGGGTATCTGAGCGGCTGACAGTGTATGACAGCCAGACTTGCCCGAAGCAGGGGTGGCAGGAGATGAGGTGGCCAGTGCATGCCATTCAGCCTCACCCGCTTCTGCCACTTCCCTCCCAAAATCCTCTTCCTGCTAAGGAACTTTCTCAGAATTCAACTAAGGAGGCCAGTCTGACCTCAGCAGCCAAGTGCGGGTAACGGCAGCCAGCTCTGTGGTACATTCTCCGGGATCTGGAGGGTTCCCTTACCAAGGATTTCCATCCCAACAAGTTCTTTGTCCTGGGATCATAGGTTGAAGGAAACCTGTTCTTTGATTGCTGTCATATTTTGACAGACCTGGAACATGCTGATAGGAGAATTTCATAGAAGAGTCTTTGGGAAATGAGATGGGAAGAAAGAACAAGGAAGAGTTAAGCTAAACAGGTGCCCTCTGGAAAAAACAAAACAACCTTTCTGAATCACAGCAGAGACACAGCCTGGAAGAGGAAAAAGGTGGGTGCTGGGCATCTGTCAAAACCCCAGAAAATCAACTGAGCAGCTTGGAAAAGAAGATCCGACAGCTTCTATGAGTCAAAACAATTGATTTCATCCCAGCTCTTCTAGACTTGTGAAGCAACTCTAAAACTCTTACTTTCTCTCACTATACTGTGGAGGATGATGGTCAGCTTGTAAAAGAAGGAAAGTAGATTAGGCGCTCTCTCCTGTCCATTCCAAATATATTAAGAAACATATGCTTCTAGGGATAGAGAATAACATAGGAGTCAGAAGATTGCTGACCTCTCAGTCTAACTTCAAAATTTCCTCAGCAGAGTTCAAAGGCACCTGCTATTCGTGTTGTCAATAATGTTCTTGCCTACTGAAATCACTGCATCCCTTTGAATCCTAATCATCTGACGTGACATGAAAAGTTGCAAAATTGAGGAGGAGGAGTAGGCGCCCTTTCTGTGCAGAGTAAGGCTGTTCAGAAGAGGAGGACGGAGGACAGCATCTCATTCTACAAAACCAGCAGTGAACCGCTGCCGCTGCCCTGCAATGCATCAGCATGGCTAGCGAGTCCTCATCTCCCCGGATTCCAAGAGCAATTGTCACCGCATATGGCCTGGGTGTCAGTGATATCTAGGACTCCTGATTCCTACATTTTTTTTTTCTCCTTGAGCTAGTAAGCCTGCTTTCCATAAGGTGCATATAAGGACTGCCACGTACTGCATTTTACTAATGGACCCAATGAGAGCAAGAGAAAAAGCCTGAGATTGGAGGTTACTCTGTCCTTCAGGAATTTTCTAAATCAAACGTTTTTTTGTTTTTTGTTTTTGGCTACCTGTCATCCCCAGAAACTGTATATATTTCCGGCTGAGAGTCTCTCTTTACCTGGAAGATCTCGATCTAGTAGAAGGGAAATGGTTAAGAGCAGCAGTATAAGTCTCTGCATAATGCCAGGGCTGCCAGTGAGAAGCAGATGCAAGGCGAGGGAATCACCCCAGGCAGGAGCGGGGCAGGTGTATTTACGGGCAGAGGCTGCTCCTGATTACTGAGGCTTATCAAAAGGCAGCCTTCCCTGGTGGACACTCGCCAAGACACAGTGTGTGTCAGGGGAGGTGTTGGGCAACAGAGATGCCAGCAGGGCAATGTTGAGGGTGGGGAGAGAGGATTATCATAGGTGAAGCCCCAGTCACTTCACTTGCTTCCCTGAACCATTTCTGAAGCAAGAATTGGATCAGATGATCTCTAAGATACCTTCCAGCCTTGACATTCCTTGATTCTGGTGAGAGGACTTTCTGTTCTGTTTCAGTTAAACTGGCATTGAATTGCTGTAGGTAAGTTTGAGTCAGGAGATTCTTGTTGAAATGGTGGTATGGGAAATGGAATTGAAGTCCATCACCCCGAAGACCACTCTGAAGTCAACATAGAAAGAAATATACAGTGTCGAAGAGAAGAACTGCGTGGGGCGTGGGGAGGTCATAAATGCCTGGAGTAGGGGGGTCACCAGCACATTTCTGTGATAGGGTGTAGGATGAGGATGACAACAAGGAATACTTGATGGTGGGCCTTGTCCAGGGGTGGGATGTGTCACCACAAAGCGTCAGGCTGACTTGGGGCTCAGGTGAAAAGGAGGGCAAGAGTGAGAAGAGAGGTTAAAAGGAGAGGATTTGTGGGAATGCTGCATTCCTAACAATGGCTCCAAATGAAACATAACCTTCCTCTTTACCTTTCCAGAGAGCACACGCCCTGCCCTCACCCCAGGGTATATGCTCCCTGGATTTAACACCAACCCCATCCCCAGCAAAACATACAGAGCATACACTCCTGGCATTCACTCATAGAGAAAACACCAGATAATTTTATTTTAAGAAAAATGTTCTTCATTTCTCTAAAGTGAAGTATTTTAGAGAGAGCAAAAATGTCCAATCTCGGAAGTTGACATTCCGGAATAAGCTCCCCTTATTTTAGAACACAGGTTAGACAAAGCCTGACAGACACACTTTGCTCGCACATCCTAAGCAAAATCCACAGTCAGTGTGTCTTCCCCGGAGCTCTCACTTAGGGGAGAATGTGATGGAAAACCAGGGCTCCTGATACAGTAACAGAATAGAAGATCAGAAGTCACAAAATGTGCCAGTTTGGGCGCTCCATGGGCCATGTATCAGCGGGCTTTAGAAAGGAAATAAATTTATTGGGAAATGCCTGTGAAGGATAAAGCGAGGCCCAGTGCAGTGGCTCACACCTGTAATCCCAGCACCTTGGGAGGGGGATCATTTTAGCTCAGGGGTTTGAGTCCATCGTGCGCAACATAGAGAGACTCCCATCTCTAAAGAAAAAGAAAGTTAGCGAGGAATGGTGGTGTGTCCCTGTAGTCCCAGCTACTTGGAAGGCTGAGGCAAGAGGGTCTTGTGAGCTCAGGAATTTGAGGTTGCAGTGAGCCATAGTGGCACTACTGCACTCCAGTGCAGGCAACTGAGCAAGACCCTGTCTCTGAGAAAAAAAAAAATATGCAGGGGAGACTGAACAAGATTGAGTAGGGAAAGTCTTCAACTGTGATACCAGTTGACACCTGTGAAAAGGTTTGGAGTGAGGGTAGCCTCAGACTGCAGTGCAGAAAATGTCAGCATTGCCAGTGGGGGACCCCAGCACAAAGACCGTCCTCCACTGGCAGACATGGCCCAGCTCTAGTCCACATTGTACTCATTCACTGACTGGAAGCAGCCAGGGTGAGAGCGGTGACCGTGGCAATCCTCCTGCAGGTTGCAAATGTGCAGCAGGTGGAGGCTGTTGGAATCTCTCCTCACCAATGTGCAGGACCTGTGGGACTCTCCTAGCCTGCCACATTTTAGACTTTAGTAATTTTTGATGATGAGCCTCAAGGGAAAAAAATGTCAGCCGATATTCAAGGTAATCTCTGTGCTCAGCATTCTGAAGAAAATTGAAAAATTCTGATGATAATAAACATTCAGCAGCTCTTCAAAGAAAAAGGAATTCACATACAGGGACTGAATAACAAAACTTCAAAAGAAATCCTGAAGTAGCTACAGTCCCAGAGGGAGAGGTTTCCGACTATTTGAATACAGATGAGGTCATGATTCTTTGTCTTCCCCAAGCCTTGCCTACTTAAGATCTACTGTTGGACCCAGTCCAATTTCTGTTGGATCCAGACACAAAGAGAAAGCAGTGAGTATAATGGGCTCAGCTAGTAACTACACCTGGTTCTCATTGTCCCAGGAACCATCATCAGGGCTTCTTTGGGTCCCTCTTCTGACACCAGAACTATTAAAAAAACACACACACAAAAACTTACATGCATAAGAATCTTAAAGTTTTCTTTTGAGCAGATATCAATTTAAGAATCGGGCAGGCTCCAAATGACAAGTGTATTGGGGCTCAGGCAAAGAGGCAGGAGAAAAAGGCTTTTATAAGGTGAAAATGGAAGCAGGGCAAACAGAACATCTAATTGGTTACAGGGGAGTAGGAGCCTCATTCAAATCATTCCAATGGACGATCCCTTGTTAGAGTTTCATTGGTGGTTTCTGATTGGTTATAGTTTTCTTTTACCATTCAAACTAAGTTGGGTTTCAGTTTGCTTATGTAAAAACCAAGGGCACTGAAGCTCTCTCAGTCTAATGGTGTCTTGTTTAATTATTTTAACAAGAGAAATATTCTGTGTTTATATATTGCAGAATTTAACATTAGCATGTCAATTATCTGTAACTTGATCTATAGATTAAATATTATCTCAATCAAACTTTCAAAAAGCTATGTTGTCGATATTTCCAAATCGATTCAAAAGACCTAGGATTGTCAACACAGTACTGAAAAGAACAATGTTGGTGGATGATATGGTTTGGTTGTGTCCTCACCCAAATCTCATCTTGGATTTTGCTCCCATCATCCCCACATGTCATGGGAGGAACCCAGTGGGAGGTAATTGAATCATGGGGGTGGGTTTTTTCTGTGCTGGTCTCAGGATAATGAATAAGCCTCAGAAGATCTGATGCTTTTATAAAGGGCAGTTCCCCTCTACATGCTGTCTTGTCTGTCACCATGTAAGACAAAACTTTGCTCCTCTTCAACTTCTGCCACGATTGTGAGGCCTCCCCAGCCATGTGGAACCATAAGTCCATTAAACCTCTTTTTCTTTATAAATTACTCCATCTTGGATACTTCTTTATAGCAGTGTGAAAATGGATTAATACAGTGAACTTACACTACCTTAAATCAAGACTCACTATGAAACTGCAATGATGAAGGCAGTGAGGGAGTGGTGAGGCAATAAACAGACAGATCAAATAGGTCAATGGAACAGAATGGAGAGCTCAGAAAAGACCAAAGCAACTGTTGTCTATTAAGGAAGCAAAGGTAACATAACGGAGAAAGGACGGTCTTCTCAATAAATGGTGCTTGAACAAATAGACACCCCTATGAAAAAGAGAAAGTGGAGTAGAGGGAGAGAGGAGAAGGGGAGGTGATGAAGTAGGGGAGGGAGGCAGAGAGAGAGAGAGAGAGAGAGAGAGAGAGAGAGAGAGAGAGATGCCCTACGACTGGGTAGTGATTAAACAAACTGTGGTTCATCCATATCATGGAATACTGCCCAGCAATAAGAAAGAGCTATTGAGACATGCAACAACTTGGAGGGAATCCCCAGAAAGTTATACTGACTGAAAAAAAAGCCAATCTAATAAGGTTACATACATTCCATTTATATGGCATCCCTAAAAGGACAAAATTGTAGAAATGGAGAACAAATCGCTTATACAGGAGTTAGGAAGGAGGTGGAGGTTGTGGGGAAGAGGGACTGGCTCTGAAAGGGTAACAGGAGACGTCGTCCTGCTGATGGGAATGTGATGTGCCAGTGTCAGTATCCTGGTTGTGACATGTGGTTTTACAAAGATGTCACTATTGAGGAAAACAGAGTAAAAGATCTGGGTATCTCTCTGTATTTCTATCATTTTTTGCAATGGTATAGGAATCTACAATTATCTCAAAACAGAAGGTATAACTAAAACATCCATAAAAGGATTATTGATTCTAATAGAATTAAATCTGTCGACTTTGAAAAATTGAATGGGAGGTAAGGCAAGATTTCTGACACAGCAGGAAACCAAAACTGAGTCTTAAGCATTGGGAACACGACAGGAAATTCTTACTTAAACTAAGTAATTGTCTCAGTCCACGTATGCTGCTATAATTAAATATCTTATACTGGGTGATTTGCAAGCAATAGACATTTATTACTTACAGTTTTAGAGGCTGGAAAGCCCCTGAAGATTTGTTATATTTGAGGGCCCAGTTTCTGCTTCCAAGATAGCAGCTGTTGCTCAGCCTTCACGTGGCAGAAGAGACAGGCACTGAGTCCTCACGTGGTAGAAGAGCAAGTCAGCTTCCTTCAACCTCTTTCATAAGGGTGCCATTTCCATTCATGAGGGCAGTGCCCTCAAGACTTAATCACCTCCCCAAAGGCCTCACCTCTTAATCACCTCTAATCCCAGTGGGGATTAGGCTTCAGCATTCGTTTTGGAAGAACATATTCCCACCATAACAGTAATTTTGAGGCTTGGAACAGAAGGTAACTTGTCAGTTAGCCCGTTCCCAGGAAAATAGTAGGCAGTGATTTTAGAAACAGGATCTAGGTCACTGGAGTTACTGAGAGTCATATTTATGATCCCCTTGCCCATTAGCAGATTTTATCTCAGACTTATATGTAGAGAATGAGTCCTTCAGAAATATTTAACTAGCTCCACTTAAAAACATGGAGTAATGATGATTAATTTATACGGGGGTATGTGTGTGACACATAAAAGGCCTTGATAAATGGACTGCCTATCCATCAATTTGTCATTAACTTAACTATTCATCTAAATGCATGCTCATTTACATGGACAGATGGCATAATGGTAAAATCTTTAAAAGAAGTATGTTCGTTTCTCTATCTATTCATCTTTCTACCTCCCTTTCTTTCTTACATTTTGCTTACTTCTTTCATCTCAATTGGTTAGCAAAGGCCAAGTGACTGAGTACAAGCTAGAGATTTGTTGATTTCTAGTCTCTTCTACTTCCCGTTTAAGAAAAATTTCAGATGGCTTTGGGACAATTTCTTTTCCACAGAATTATAGAAAAATAAGCCAGGATGGAGGGACCATCAAGGTCAGGTAGTCATGTTCTCCTTTCTAAATGAAACACTTGACAAACTGAGCAAAGACAGTCATTTATTTTTATTAAAGTGTCTGCTTACAGCAGAAGCAAGAATAAAAAGGAGCTAGATCATGTGTGCTTCTCTGGAAACCTAAATCTTCTGAATTAATCTTCTCTAATCTTCCCACATGGCTGGATGGTCAGACAGCATTTCAGAGACTTCTGGCAGAGGGCAATAATTTCTTCATTTTTCTTACAATAACCCACGCATGTCCCTTTAAGTCTATGGCATCTCTCATCAAAAACTGCATTCTTGGTTACACAAGGGAAGGAGCCATTTGGATTAATTCACTTTTCAGACATATCTGTTTACCGGATACAGTTGTATGACTAGTTGGTGAAGATTTCTTCACAAGCGGTCATAGTGCCATACCCTACCAGTAGAAGAGATGGCAGGGAACCTGTTTTTTATCTGATATTTCCGTCTTCTGGTCACACAGGATGAAATACCAGAAGGAATAGATTTGTGTTCCAGCATTTGAGACCAAGCTGCGTAGGAGCTTTGGGAAACAGAAGCTAGGGTTGTTTGATCAAAATCTCTTGGGGGTAATTATCAGCTTGTTCCCATAAACACCCCCAGAGGCTACTAATTTCCCCGATGCACTGTCAGAGGTTGCTACTTGGTGAGAGCAGAGCAAGAGCTGAGACTGAGGAGATGGCTCCAGACCAGAGCAAAGGAAGGGATAAAAGTATAAAAAGAAAACAAGCTTACTCTGGTAGATAGAGACTTGCTTGGAAGGCTCACCCTGATTTCTCCTCCATACTCCACCAAAGCATGGACTGTGGAAAGCTCGAGCTTTAGAGCAGGAGGGTGTAGCATGTTGGGAATGTTTTTCTAAGACTTTCTCAGGTCAGTTGGCATAGAATTCCACTTCCCATCTCAGGGCTTTATCAGTAGCAGTCCCAAGAGCAGCCTGCTTCAAGTTGAGGACAGATAGTGCATCTTAACAGGATCAACATTTTAGAGTTGCCCAATTTGGGTACACATAATGAATGCATCAGATGTACAGAGATTGCATTTAATGTTAACATAAATGTAAACATAAAATTCACATCTACATAAAACGTATAGCCAGATGGATTCGTGCCAGCATATACACTAATCATTATCCAGGATCAGCACATCAGTTCATAAGTGAAAATACTCCACTATTTCAAAGTTCGATGAACTCTGGCTTTCGCTGGTGGGGGTCTATGTTCTCTCTGCCCTGGGCAGATACTAATACAATACTGTACCATGGACTATAGTATAGGACTCACAGAAGCTCCTTTTAATTTAGTATAGCATTACAGTATAGCATATGTACACTATAAAAATACTAGTATTCTAGTATATACTATATTACTATACTAGCATGATCATGTACTAGTATTACAGTGTGTATTATGCGTACTATGTACTAGTATATAATAATACTTCCTTTATTAATTTTTTTCCAATTTTTGTTTTTGTTAGCATGATACCAAAAGGCACGTTTCCTGGCCTTCCTTTATTCTTTCAAACCTGTGACAGCCCCTCCTCGACTATATTATGCTAGTGTTAATAACATACTAGTATAATATAGTATAGTATATTACAATATACTGGTATATTATTATAGTACATACTATGCTATACTATAATACTCTACTAAGCCAAAAAGATTTCCTCTAAATACTATCATAGTATAGTATTATACTACAGTATATCTAATAGATAATTATTAGATTATCTAATTATACAATTATAATATAATTATAGTAAATTATAATTGTATAATTATAGTTTTATCTAATAATTAGTATAATGCTAGCATATATGTATTATTATAGTATATACTATGCTATACTATAATACTCTTCTAAGCCAAAAAGATTTCCTCTAAATACTATCATAGTATAGTATTATACTACAGTATATCTAATAGATAAGTATTGGATTATCTAATTATAAATTATAGATAATTATCTATTATATAGTTATAGTAAATAATTATAATTGTACAATGATAGTATTATCTAATAGATAATGAGTATAATTCTAGTGTATTATTATAGTATATATTATGCTATACTATAATTCCATACTAAACCACAAAGATTTTCTCTAAATACTATCATAGTGTAGTATTATATGGCAGTATATCTAATAGATAATTATTAGATTAATAATTATGTTATTATAGCTAATAATGATCTATAATTGAATATAGTAAATTATCTATAATTGTATAACATAGCATTATCTAATAGATAATTTTATAGTGTATAAACAACTATTGTTTTGACTAACTATGTAATAAGAATGAGTCATCTGACAAAGATACCTCTGGCCAATTCCCAGTGTGCACATCAAAGCCAGTGGCCTGAATACAGAATGAGTCACTTTGAGTCCTAGATCCTCGTGTCCTGACACAGAATCTACTCTACAGGCTTGTCATAAAACAGACCAGAGCTATGAACAGCGGATGTGAAAATTGGCACATTACACATGGGATCACATATCACTGGCATCTGGCACAAGTTGGGGCTTACTGTGGGCTCTGAGAACCCCTTTCTTCAGCTCTCTAAGGCTGTCATGAACCTAGTAGGATGCCTTACTTTTGGAGAGGATACAACTGCAGCAATTGGAAGTTTGCGGGAGCAGGAGCAAGTCCAGAGAGTTTTGGTATGGGAAGGGCATCTTGAAGGCCTCTCACTGCTGGGCTCCTCCCCTGACTTTGTTTTGGTTACCTGTATGACTCTGAGAAGCACTTAGCCCATGTGAGGCACAATTTCTGCATCTGTAATAATATTTGTAAAACGGACCTCCAAAACCACAAAGATTTTTTCTAACTACCATTAAATTAGAAGCAGGACAGAGTTTTTCTTAAAGGCACTGGCACTGGAAGACTGGATGCATTTTCTGAACGTCTCATCACAGCACGTGGCTTGGTGATATGTGATTAGGAAATGACAGTCCGACTTATGCTACTTTACCTGTTGCCATGACTGGCATGAACGCAGAGGTGTCTCTAAGCTCCAGTCCTTACCTGTCCCTCCTCCTTACCTGTCTCAAGCTCTACCAAAGCTACATTTTAAAAGGTTCGTAGACTGCCATCCTTGTTTTTAATTTTTTTCCATTTTTGTTTTTGTTATTGATCATGAGATTGGATGCCAGAAGGCATGTTTCCCGGCCTTCCTTTATTCTTTCCAAGCTGTGCCAGCCCTTCCTCGGTAACAGCGTGAAATGCAAAGCAATTACAGAAGAGGCCTGAGGGGGATATCACCTCTTGTAGCACATGGGTTGATCATGCCCAGGCATTCACTGAAGGGTACCCTTTCTCTGGGACATCAGCTCTGATCACCTTCCCTGTAAAGATGCGAATTTTACCTGGGGTCAGAAAGAAGAACACAGCAAAGAGAAAGAGGAATTTCCTCATGACTGGGAGAGCAGCAAACACCCACATTGATAGATTTCTCCAGACCAGTAGCATCTCGATCAGTGAGGCTTATCAGAGACGAGAGGATTTCCATGCTCTGCTGCACAGAGCCCAGCCACCCTCAGTGGGTGTCACTCAGCTGACAGCTCATCGTTTTTCTGACTCTGGAAAGTTTTCAAGAAGGAACGTGGGGATGAAGGGAGGACAGAGTAGGGCAGACACAGAAAACATTTAAAAATCTGGAGTCTGGCAGTTTGGTTTCTAATCCTGACTGTGCTCCTGAATAGCTTTGGTTTACCCATATGTAAAATGAGAGTAATCATAGGATGTCTCAATGCTTCAGTTAAGAGCTGATGCACCACAGTGAGGTGGAATCTGAATTCCAGATTCGATCTTTTTGAGCTTTGTAAACTTGGCAAAAGGCTTGACCTAAGCATATATTTGTTTAAAAACGTGACTCTTGCTGTATATTGCGTGCTTTTCTTGCTTGGTCCTGCCATGCTGCCCACCTGTACCACGGCACTGTTGGCACAGCAAGGGGCTGGTAACCATCATGCCTCGCCCTAGACACTCAAGGCTTAGACACTCACCTCCCCACTTCTGCATATTCACACCTAGGTCCCTGTGGGGTGGATGGCTGCTGCAAGGGGTTATCAAGGGGGAGGCCAAGTGGGGCCCAGGGTACCAAAAGTGGGGAATAGGTGGCTAAGAATCCTCCCAGGAAGGTTAAGAGGGGAAGGGAGTCTGGAGTGCACATAAGCCGTGCTTACAAAGTCCCAGAGCATGCTCCACTGTCCCATCAGACTTGATTTACAATGCATCTATTCAGAGGTAAAGTTACTACGACTTTCAACACAGTGACTGCAGAGCATGAAACCCCAAACTGAGGCAGGGAGCTGTGACTGCATTGGCCATCTGCCCAGGAGGCAGGCCCTGATGCAGGCTATATAAAATACCTAAAAGCTGAAAGTCTGGAGGCTCAGCCCTATCCCCTATATAAAAAGGCATTAGCTTGGATTCTGAATCTGAATTCTTTGCAAGCCACAGCAGCAACCTAAAACCGTGTGCCTTCCTGCATGGGCCAGAAAAGGTTCATGATGAATTTGTGGACTTGAAAAAGAGTTTACAGAAAACTTGGGCTCAAGGCTGAATAGAGAGAAAGGTGCGTTAGGACTAGTGGTAGTAGCCAGGAACTCTGCTAAGCACTTTATATACCTTATCTCAGTCAATCCTCTCAAATACTCTGTGGCTAAGTACCGTAATTACACCTTTATCGTAAGGGTTAGGAAACTGAGGTTCAACAAATTGAGTAACCTATCCGAGGTCATATGCTTCGTAGTCTACATTTTAAAATTTTTCTACTTTACATTACAGAAATGAAGGACAGAACATCATATAAAAATACAGGCAACAGGGAAGGAATAAGCAGGACTTGTTTGAGGGGAAGATAGTGGTATCAATATTGCTTTTCATACCCATGTTTTGTCTTGTGTTTTAAGACAGGATCTCGCTCTGTTGCCCAGGCTGGAGTGCAGTGGCATGCTCATGGCTCACCGCCGCCTTAAACTCCTGGCTCAGCCCATCCTTCCACATCAGCCTCCCGAGTAGCTGGGAGTACATGCTACCATGTCCAGCGATTTTTTTTTTTAATTATTTTGTAGAGACGAGGTCTCAGGCTGATCTTGGAATTCTTGGGCTCAAACAATCCACCTGCCTTGGCCTCCCAAAAAGCTGTGATCATAGACATAAGCCACGCATCTGGGTCAATACCTATGTCCTTAATGAACTTAAAATATGCAGTAATTATGACTTTCGTCTGTGACGTGATATCTTACGGGAAAGGGGACTCAGAGCTAAGTTGACAAAATGATTACGGCCCCTCCTTTTCTCCCTGTAATTCTTGTAGACAATAAAAATGAAAGCTAGGAAAGTGAGAGTCCACATTTACTGAGCTCTTACAGGGTACCAGGCCTCATTCTAAGCATTCCACATGTCCAGAACACTTTTGCATTATAATCATACTAGATCCCTACAAAACCTTGAGAAGGAGGCAGAATTTGTGAGTGAGTTCTTATTTTCTCCCAGAAAACAGGAGCTGGAAGAGATGAAAGGGGTCACTAGCTTCTGGTCCCTGGATGCCTATGGCAGAACCTTGCATGAGCCCTGGTCTTTCAAGCCCTAGCCCCTAGCCTGGTGTTCTTTCCACGACACCAGTTAGACTCCCCAAAATATAGGGCTGTCTGGATGCCCACGGTTATTATGCATGATAGCATCCCTCGATCCTGGGAAACGGAGCATATAATTATGCTTTCTTTATTCATTCACTTCACTGATCAAGAACATCTTCCCATCACTTTTAAATATAAATGAGCCTCTCATTTGGGTCTTCTCAAGGAAATCAATCTCCATTCTAAAGAGTCTTCCCTAAAAGATGGCCCTGATGAGGAAGATGTTTTATTTTGTATTTGCCGTGTTCTTCATTTTGGCTCAACGGCCATCTGGCAAATAAAAATGGATGGGATTTTGATGGGGCAGATTATAAACCCTGCTGATTCTTCTATGTTTGACCTTGAAAAGGAAAGTAATGGCCAACACCCCATGGTGCCTGTCATGGGAATTTCTTAGGTATACAGCGACGTGTTCTAAGAGCAAACTGCATGTAGTGTATTTTTTTGTTTGTTTGTAATTTGTTTTTTGCTGGTTACCTGGAGTGCTGACCTTGAGAAATAGAGTACAGATTGCAACTCTGAAATCTCCTGTCTGCTCATACGCCAAGTCACACATGGAGGTGGGAATAATGTTTTATACAGTGTTAATTCCTGGGTTGATGTTAATTTTCAAAACATATTTTGTTTTGAATTTAGGGAGCCAAGCAGGACTTGATTTTTCCCAGCCTTTCATCAGGTAAGTAAAATCTCTTGTGTATAATGAATTTTCCCTTAGGAACTCTGACTCTGTTGGTTCTCTTGGATCTCCAGAGACAAAAAGGGGACAAAGATAGTGGTGGAAATAGAATTGTCTGAAGTACTAGTTCACTAACTTATCTTCTTCTCTTTCTCTTGCTCCAAGTATAATATTTGGATATTTTTGATTTCACAGAAAAATATCTTTGTGGCTGGACTGTAATTTGGCGATAGAGAATTGGACTCAGTGGCTTTTCCCATTAGCTCTTGATGCTCACTAAACTGAGGTCATAGATTTAGTCTTGTACCAGCCAATTAGCAGTGCTCTGAGAACATGCCTGCCCATCTCCTGCAAGCTCTGCTGCTAAGTCCGGTAGTAACATACATCACACATGCATGAGGTTGGTTGAAGGAAGCTCAAATTAAAGAGTGAGGTTAGTTCAATGAAAATTCAGCACCATTGCATGAAAACTTCTCATAATGAAGAGCCCGCAGATCTCTTCCCTTTTTTTTGAAGTCATCTTATACAGAAAGAAAGCACATTATAAACAAAAATGAAAGAAATATTGTAAACAAAGTTGAAAAGGGTTTAGAAAGAATTTCAAAGTGAGAAATATGAGGTTGCTACCAGTCCTTGAGTGGTTCCTGTGTACCAGGCATCCTATGAAAAACTTTACATGGATTTTGTCATGTAATCTCCAAAACACTCCTATGTGGTAGTTACTATTATAACCAAAATATTTGCATATAACATTCCATTTGATCCCTAAGCTGATTTAGAAATGTAGTCAGGTGCTTCTGGAATGGCCACTGGACGAGTGAGAACGTCGATCTTAAGAACTCGCTGAGGATCCCTGGCAATTACTAGGCCCAAACAAGACTTGAACCTAAGCTTCTTAACTCCATCCTCAAGGATCTTTCCAAAACCACAATATGCCCCTCCCATTTTTGTGTAGCAAACTTCACAGTAGTATCAGGTATGTATTTTTGTTGTTCTATAGTAGGTATGTCTCTTTGTCTGCCTGTGGTTTACTTTTGATCCCTGCAAGATTATAAACACTTGGAAAGTAGGAATTGTGATGATCTGTTGCTTAAAAATTCAGTCTCCCCAAATCCCTCCTGCAGAAAGCAGGCGCTCTTATTGAAAAATCTGGGCTGGTTCTTGAAAATATTCTTTGTAATCATACATAGAAACTCTCCCCTTTTTTTGGTGGATTTTGGCATGTTTGCCATTTCTAGACAGTTCCTGAAAGACCTCAGCAGCTCTTTCTTGGCACAGGTGAGTTTGCTGTCTGTGAGTCGTGCAAGCTCGGTTGGGGAAAATGCGGGAAAGGGTGCTTGGAGTCTGAGAAGGCCGTCGGAAGCTGCGGGCTGAACTCTCTCTGCTGCCCACAGAGGATCTGGCAAAGCGGTCCAGCACCCTTCTGGCCTTAGAAGTGTATTCAAGGAAGACATTCAAGAGAAATTATGTGGCTTATCCAAGTCACACGGTGAGTCTCAGAATCATTCTCATTTCTTTCCTTCTTTTTTGTTTTATTGCTTATATTTTTTAAGATGACTTTTTTTTTTTTTGAGATGGAATCTCGCTCTGTCACCCAGGCTGGAGTGCAGCTGCACGATCTCGGCTCACTGCAACGTCCACCACCCGGGTTGAATGATTCTCTTGCTTCAGCCTCCCAAGTATCTAGGAATACACATGCCACCATGCCTGGCTAATTTTTGTACTTTTGATAGAGACGGGATTTCACTGTGTTGGCAAGGCTGGTCTTGATCTCCTAAGCTCAGGCACTCTGCCCACCTCGGCCTCCCAAAGTGCTGGGATTACAGGCGTGAGCCACTGCACCGGGCGAGATAACCTTTTAAAACAAAAATCAAAACCTGAGTGTGTAGTTAGTAGCTACTCAGTCAGATACCACTACTATATATTTGTGGAGTACCTTATAATTTATGAAATATTTTCCATACTTCTCTCATCTGACTCATGACTACCTTATGAGATTTTATTGCTCCCATTTATATTTGAAAATATTGAGGCCCAAGAGGCTGTTATTTCCTCAGAGCCATAGCTAGGATCCGTTAACTGTTCTGTGTTCTGTGTATCCATCTGTATGTACTAACTCTCACAGAATTAATAGAGAAATGGAAGTGGCATTCACGTCTATGTTAATAAAGTAATAACTCTATCAAATACATTATTTTTATGTTCACATTATTTCTTGCTTTGCCTAAATATTGTCATTCATTGATTCTAGTACTTATGATATATTTACCTGTGAAAGAAAATGCTTAGAGATTAACTTAAAATGTTCAGCACAAAAGGTACATAAATGGCTGACTGTACAACTTTTGCCTTGTGAAATAAAATCCAGCTTCACAAAATAAAGGTCAAAAAAAATTTTTTTTGAGACGGAGTTTCACTCTTGTTGCCCAAGCTGGAGTGTAGTGGTGCCATCTCGGCTCACTGGAACCTCTACCTCCTGAGTTCAAGTGATTCTCCTGCCTCAGCCTCCCAAGGAGCTAGGATTACAGGTTCCTGCCACCATGCCCAGCTAATTTTTGTATTTTTAGTAGAGAAAGGTTTCACCTGTTAGCCAGGCTGGTCGTGAACCCCTGACCTCAGTTGATTCACCCACCTTGGCCTCCCAAAGTGCCAGGATTATAGGCATGAGCCACCCTGCCCAGCTGGGATAATTTTCTTGGCATATTTCTACATCTTAAGCAGAAGCCATCTTTCTTTTAATAACATATTTAATTCATTTAGGAGAACAGAAATACTTAGATTTTCTGCTAATTCTTGTGTCAATGTTGGTATGTTAAATTTTTGGGAGAATTTTTCCAGTTTATTTAACTCGTGAAATGCTTTGTCATATACATGTCGTCAAAAGTTTTATGTTATTTAATGTTTCTTGGATCTGTACTGATAACCTCTATTTCATTTATTCTGTATACTTGGGCTTACATTGTTTTCTAAGGTTCTTCGAACATAATTTTAAGTCATAGATTTAAACATTTCTTCTTTTCTACAATAAGTATTTGGATCTAAATTGCTTTCTAAGTGATTGTTTTGTCTTGTTCCACAAAATTTGACATATAGAAATGCTTTCCAATTATTCTCATTATTCTCTGATGCATACACAACCTAGAATTATGTTGCTTTATTTCCACATACTTGGAAATATCCTAAATAGCTTATTTTATAGATTTCCAATATAATCCCCTTGTGGTGAGAAATATACGCTGAAGAATTTAAATGTTTTTAAACACATGAATATTTGTTTTGTGGCCTAGCATATGGTTTATTTTTATGACTGCATCATAGGTACTTAAAAATGGGTATTTTGCAATTGGGTTATGATGTGTTCTATAAACAGCGATTTAGTCAATGGAATGGGGGTATGGTTCAGATCATGCATGACTTTGCTAGTTTTTCTGTGTTCTATCAGTTGCCAAGAGAGTGGTGTAAACATTTTCTACTATGAATATAGAAGTGTCTATTTCTCCTTTCAATTAAGTAATATAAAACCATGCTCGTGATTTTTATGTATTTTTGAAGGATTAACCCTTTTCCTTTTAAGCAGCACCACTCCATGCAATAGAGCGAGACCCTGTCTCAAAACACAAACAACCTGCACACGTACTCCTGAATGTAAAATTGAAGGTTTTTGTTTATTTTTTTTTTTTACGAAGTAGGTTTTATGTAAAATCATGTATGAGGAAAATGTGGGTAGCTATGTATCTTATGAACATGATAATACTTGAGATAAGACTTGAAGGAAAAATGAGAGAAATCTAAGCAGAGACAGAATAAAATATTCCAGATAGAAAGGCAGAGTTCTCTGCCTTTCTCTTCCATAAATGTGATTTAGTTCAAATCTGCTCCATCAGCCCACACGTTAATCAGTGGAGCATGGAAAACAGTATGTTCCCAATGAACATTACAAACCGAGGTTGACTTCCAGCCCTTTTAGAGCAGAGGAACATGTTTTAATCAATGCCTCTTGATAAGAGCTTGATTCCAGCTACTGCACTTCCTTCATCAGCTCTCCAATGATGCCTGGAGCCATGAGAATATTTTTCTTTATTTTTGCTGCTTTCATTCTTCTTGCTCACATTTTCCCAGGTAAGAGGGAAGTTCTTTTAGAGATAGAGATGACAGTCTGCTCAGGATCTGTCTTTTGAGAAGAAAGCTCAGCTTTTACAAAGTTGAAGTTTCCAAGGCAAACCGGTCACTGAAAATCTTTTCCTGAGCTCAGGCACAAAACAGTGGGACCTCACGGACCCAGACCATCTCCAACCATAACAGTATCCGGTCAACTTCCCCAACAGCTCTGCCCAGGAGTTCAGACTGCTTTGGACCTTTAGATCGCTTTCCTCCTCTTATAATCTGCAATGCAGCTTCAGCATCTTCCAAAGTGATTGCTTTAAAATGAAAAAAGAAAATTCCAAGGCAAATGCCAAACATATTTGTTAATTTAGGCAAGTACAGCCTGTGTAGTCTAAATTAAAGTCATATTAATATATTCTTAGATAATTTTTTTCACGTCTAAGTTGTTGGTCCGAATCTCTTATGCATAGATTGTTTTAGGCTCTCTGGTTTTCACACACTGGTTGAAAATTATACCATTAAAACCACTAAACTAACATCTCACTATTCTCTTAAGTCTTTGAGTCTCTCTTTGCTTAATACCTACCATGATTCTGTTCCTAAGAAACGTTTTTGTCCATGCCTCCTCAAGTACCCCTTGTTCCTTCGGTTATGAAGCTTTCCTGTTAGAGGTTCTCCATGCATCATGAAGCCCCTATCTGCTCCTTCATGGCTCCTGAATTTCTATATTTCTTTATTACACATTCTGTCATCAGTAGTCCTACCAAACCAACAGATGTTGAATGTGTGCTAACCAATTATAAGAAATTGTTCTGTCAGCTACAATAAAGGTAGGTAAAGTGAAGAGGCAGAAATATAATTAAAGCATGGATATTGACCCGAATTTGCTTGAAGTTATTAGTCAGTTATTTCTGTGTTGTTAAAAATAGATTGCCTGTAATGGTAAATAGACATTTAATAAATTTAACATGTATGAGTAAGTATATCAATGAGACAGGAAGATACACTAATAACTTCAATATGAAACAGTTTCACAAGTGCCATAAAAAATGCAAAGTATAAAGAGAAGCCGTAGATCTGGAAACTTGGTTCTAGCTAGGAAATGCCGAAAGGCTTCCTGGGAAGTAGCATTCGCATTGCACCTTTGGAAACAGGCAAGACTAGAACTAAAGATCAGAGCCAAGGAACACTGTCCCTATGAAAGTTTGAGTGACCCCATTGTTTCAGTGACCCCATGAAAGTCTCAGTTGTAAAATCAGTCCCTATTTTCTGCCTTCAGTATCTTCTCATAGATGTCAGACAATGCTCCAGGATAGATAAACGCATTTTAAATTGTCTTCTCCATCCACTTTAATCAGTACTCCAATGTATTCAGATCCATCTATAAATGTAGATGCCTAATAGCTCCCTGTCCACAACACTCATCTCAGACATATTTGATTTACAATAATAAGCATAGTTTCGGCACAAATTAGGACCACCACCATCGCCATAATTGCACAGAATCTCAGAGTTAGAAGTGAATTTAAAGATCAATATAAAAGGCAATAAACATAGGTTATTAGGCCAAAGTGTATGAGTTTGGATATCAATGACAATCTTTATAAGCTGTATATACTCTGTGTTTTACTTTCCTTTCTATAAATAATAATAATAACAGCATTGTTTTGAAGATGAATGAACTTTACATTAATTAGAAACTAACTTATTATAATAAAGAAACTTAATAATAGAGTGACTGAAAAAATATAAAACCTTATTTCTTTTTCATGTAAAAGTCCAAAAATAGCTAAGTTGACTAGGTGAGGGTAGAGGGTTTGTTTTCACCAAGTTATGTTGTGACTTGGCCTGAAGGTCAACCCTGCCATCCTAAACAGGTGACCCTTTTATTTGGTCCCAAGGATGTTCTAACAGACAGGGTTAGACAGTACAGAACATGATCAAGATTACATAGAAGCAGCTCACATCATTCCGTTCCTTTTTCATTTCTCCAGATTTGTTCATGTGGACATATAGAAATAGGAAGCTAGGAGCTGATGGCATTAGCTGAGTATTCATGTGTCCAGGTAACCCAAGGGCTCTGTGGCTAAAAGTCTGAAGGCAAAAATAACTGCTTTGGGACAGTTTGACAATCTTTCAATATAACTGGGCAGTGCTGGGCACATACTCTATGCTATGTTAGAGTTTACTATTGTTTAATTGTCATTTGTTCTTCTACATATTTTCTTTTGCTCTCTGCCCTGATTCAGTATTGAATACCCTATACATGTTTATTTTTATATATATGTCAGCTGATTGTCCAGATGCCTGATAAATTTCAGCGATCTGAAACTCACAGTATCCTGAGATCAACTTTGGACT